CTTTCTTGGTGTGGAGTCCTCATCGACACCTCGGCTAAGTTAAAAGAAAACAAAAAAAAAAATTCGTCCAATGAAGAAACAAGTGAACGACTTTCTATTCCAGATCTTTAAACTATCCCAAAAAAACACTATAATCTCCAAAAAAAAATTTCTTCTTCAAATATTCGAAATATTTCTCCGGTTCATCAGTTATTGAAAATGAGTCTCATTGAATATCCAAAAAAACGTTAGTTATTCAATATCTTTGTTTGTTGATTAAATGAGTTATTCAAATACATCAGTTATTGAAGCATTTCTATTTTTAATGCACAGATATTTTGGAGACATGTACAAAAATAAAACACACACTTGTGCCGAAACAAGGAAGAAGAGAAAACTCAAGAGTTCAGTGAAAAAATGGAAAAAAATAACTTCTCGTTTTTGAACAGAATGTTAACGAAATAAGAGCAGAAAATGAAAAAATAATTACAATCCTAGTGCGTCAAAACCAGAAATAAATTGTATATTATTTATCAAGCAACTGTGGTCAGTGTTTGTCCCACCGGAAAGGAATCTTAAAACATCTACTTAAGATAAAAATGTCGATTAGAAAATCTCGTGTTACGAAGAAAACACAAGTGATAAACAACAACAGGCGCATTCCTTACGCTTGCACCAAACTCCTGTGTTTTGAAAAACTTTTTTAGACAATATATTGAAATATTGAGCAAAGTTGTCAATTAGAAAGGGCCAAAGGGTCCTGATTCATAATAAGAAAACAAGAAGAAAAATGCTTCGAAACGATTATACAGGTAAGGATTCAGTAAGGATCATCATCACCTAACTAGAAATGCAAAGAGACAATTGGGTGGGGATTAAAGTATGAGAGGAGAGAGTTTTTTAAAAACTCTTTTATGTTCTCGCACATCAACACACAGACATAGTCAATAGAATGTTAGAAAGGGTTAAGCGAGGGTGAAACTGATGATGAAGTCGAGGGCGTTAGAGTCGATAACTACGACACTGGGCAATCCGAAGCTTCTCAAACGAGAAAAGCATACACACGGCTCCCATTCAACTAACCCTTTCAGTCTTTCTCCGACGACCCCGTTCTTCTCTTATACCCCCGCGTTCATCCACCCTAATCGTCTTTCTTTTTTCATCGTATATACCTTCCTTCTATATCGCCTCCTATACTCTTCAAGCCATCATCCTGCCTCTCGCAATGTCGGCAAAATCTCTTTTACACGCCTCAAGAGAAAGAGAGAGAGAGAGAGAGAGAGAGAGAGAGAGAGAGAGAGAGAGAGAGAGAGAGAGAGAGAGAGAGAGAGAGAGAGAGAGAGGCGATATCCAAAGCGAGTGACTAAGAGAGTTATATCACTCTCGAAAGAGAGCGAGAGAGAAACAGACACTATACACCTTTCTCTTATTCTGGCATTCGATGTCTGTCAACCGTGTCCTTTGAATTAGGCCTTATTTGCATCATCTACAAAACGAAAGAATTAAGAAATGAACTAAAAAGAAATTAAGAATTAGTAGGAATAAAATTAGGAAACGAATTAAATAAAATTAAGAAAAGAAATAGATTCGAGAAACGAATTTTCTACTGCAACAGAATTTAGGATTGAAAATTAGAGAACAAAATACAAAACAGAAGAAATAATTTAGGACCAAAGACTCCAAAATGGAATCAATTCAGTTTTCCAGACTCTCGCTCGGTCGAGTCTGGAAATTATGTCATTATATAGAAATAAAAAGAAAGTCCCCAAGAGTAAAGTTTCTTTTATTTCCCGCATTGGCCTCTTGCCAGCAATCTTGTCCATCTTCTCCATGCGCGAGAACAAAAGTCATATTTTTCTCTCGCATTATTACGAAATTGTTTACCCTTACATAAGTTTAGAAAAAAAAAATAATACTTCAAAATTTCCCGAACAGAAAAAAAAACAACAATCTTTTACGATGAGAAATAATCACGTGAATTGATATTACGTAAGAATTCTCTTTAAAGACAGTTTGATGATTCTGAATTCCATTCACTGTTGTAATATGAGAAGTTCGCCAAAGATTCATTCATGGGACATTTTCGTTTTGAAGAAAGAAAGAAAAAAAAACCCTTTCGACGTATATATAAAGGTGTTGTATGACCGCAGTTAAAATTGATGGTTTCCAGGTTTTTTTCCTCATCCTCAGAATTATACTTTATATTCATAATTAAGGGGATATTAAGTTCAATTTCAGTGTAATGAAATGAAAGAAACAATTTTTTTTTCCAAGAAATTTCGAGAAAATATATTTTATTTTTAATAAAGGAAGCGGCGAGTATAAAGGAATAAATGTTTTTCTTTCTCTCTCTTTATAGTGATAAATGCTAATGGTTTCCTGAGGATGTGGCTACCAGATATTATAGAAATCCCTAATTATGTATTTTCCATATGGCTCTAATAGATATAGAAACGAACCTGAAGCATCTGGATATGTTTCAAGAAGAATTGTATATTGATTGTCAGTGCGAATAAATCAATGTCAATCGGATCGGACATAAGAGAGACTAGAGAAAGAGACACTTGTGTTAATTATTTTTGTTGGAATTTACAATCTAATTTTGCTTCCTCTCGCGATTCTGGTCGAAATAAGTTTTCTCTTTCCTCTCTTTTCTCAAAAGAAAAAATGAAACAATAAAAAGAGGAAATTAGACAATTAGAAAAAAGAAATCAGAATTCGAGGAGGAGGAAAGATTGTATTCAGAGGAAATATTTTAAATGCATGAAACACAAATTTGTCGCCGGTGTCCCTAGATGTATATAATCATGCCGAAGGCAATGGACCCTCGGCGCAAATGCTCCACACAAATGCTCCAGTTAAAAATTAATGATCTTGATCCAGGCTCATTAATCACACTAGGTGGTAGGTCTTCGTACTCTTTAGGGTCATGTTCGTTCATCGCTTTTAAAAATTTCAAGGTGGCCCGATTCCGTAGTCACCCTGTACACATATATATTTTTGGGGTCGACGTAGAATAAAAGCATGGCGCGATGCCAAAGTCTCAAGTAGGTACACACAAGTACCTGATATTTACTGGCTCAAAAATCCCACCAGGATAGCAGAATTTTTTTTATCTTCATCTTTCCCCGAAATCATCAATTATGGAGAAATTCTATTAATCATTTCCAGCAAAGATAAGAATAGAACAACAAAGATAATACTAAAATAGCAATAGAAAAGAATAGATTAACAAGAAGAAGAAACTAAGAATAGAAAAGAATAAAGCTAATGGAATGAAAAAAGCAAAAAATATAAGAAAACAGTTCATTAGCAGTGAACCATTTTCATTTTTTGTTTTCAACATATGGCACACAATATTTGAAGAGGACGATCAAAGAGATTGAGAATAGAGTGACGAGTTGACCGGATGTTAAGGTCGAACGGAAATCGCGAACACTTTTCTCTCTCTCTCTCTCTCTCGCTTTTGCAAGAGAGAAACCGCTTTCTCTCCTTTGCACTTGGATGACGATATTGACAAAGATTGTGCGCGCGGAAATCGTCAAAGGCCAGTGTCTGCGTTATCAGACAAGATGACTTACGTAGCCAGGGAATTATTGTAACCCGCAGAGCCAACGAATCCTTCAAAAGAAACATCAAAGACACCGCATGGTCGGTTCGTCCACTCAAAAGCAAAGACAGCTTCAGCCGGCTACCGAGATCCCGGCGCCCCTTGAAGCAAAAGAAAACACTTGTACACAGGGAAAAGTCCTTGGCTTGAAACTTTAGATGAATCTCTGACCCGGACTTAAGTCCCGAAAAAGAAAATTTTCCCCAAAAGAAAATCTCCTAAAGAAAAATCTCAACAATAAGAAATTTAAACTCAGCTTCCTTTAACAACAAACCTTGATTAGTACAACGTTTTCCAGCAATAAAAACTATTCATTTTCCCTCTAAATAGAAGCTGTAGGAAAAAAAAAATATTTTCTACAAATAGACTCTATTTGTAAAATCCATTGATAATTACCGATTTTTCAAATAGTGTGAACGTGTGATTGTGTGAATGAATCATTAGTGTGTGTGAAAAAAATTACGTAATACAGGGTCATGACCCTAACAAAGTGTGCGACAATTAATAACTCGATTCATATATATACATGTATACATGCATGCGGTGAAAGTTGAGAGAAAAAAAATAGTGTATAGCAAATTCCACAGTAATTAATCGCCGTCTCATTAAGCGGCGGTTCTTTTCTTCTTTAGCCATGTAAAAAAGTTATTACTTCAATGAAGAATGCAATTCGAGTATATGTTCACCGCCTCACTAAGCACTTAGGCCTGTCGGCAAGATAAGATTCATTTTAATTATTACATCAAGAGATTCCTTTTTCAAAATAATTATGAATTCATAATTTTTAATTTTAATGCTCCTCTAATTTTTGATAAATCGATTCTCAATCTTTCGGGATAATCGACAATATTTTAAGACACCAAAAAACAAACTTCCTCCTGGAATAATCTGTTACTAAAAGAAACAGGATTTTTGTGCATCGATAATTGACAATTTAACAAAGTAAATACAGAATAGAATATTAAGTAGACTACTAAATACTACTAATACTACTACTGCTATTTTTTCTGCTATCCTAAATGCAATACTAAATACAATACCAAATAGAATACTTAATGCAATACTAAATATAATTCCAAATAATATGCTGAATATAATACCAAATAAAATAAAAACCGAATGCTGAACATAATGCCAAATACAAAAAATTGATCCAAAATTTGGATCAATTAGCATTTGGTATTTGATACAAATGGTTCACTATTTGGATCAATTAGCATTTGGCGCTTGATGCAAATGAATTACTATTTGGATCAATTAGCATTTTGATACAAATGGTATTGTTTTAGTGAAAACAAAACAAGAAGAGATAAAAATAAATTATAATAAATTCTGTTGGAAATTATGGTAACACGATTATCTCTCATCAATATTTATAATGTGGGTAGAAAATAAAGAAATGAAGCAATACCTCGGCATCACTTTGATCCATGACAAGAGGTGCGGCGTCATAAAAGAGTTTTATATGCCTCCGTGGCTGTGTTCGATTTAAAGTAAGCTGCTCAAGGCAATCGCTCGCCTAGACTCACTTTTCCTGTTAAAATGGACATTTGTGCTCGAAAAGGTACTATCATTACTATAGACTCGTGACACTATCATTACACTGACAGTTATACCGTAATTCCCTTGCATTTGATGTCTTGTAATTAAGGCGGGAGAGAGAGAAAGAGAGACCCCGTTACACTTCCTCGTCTCCACAACTCTCCAAACGTTTCACGTTTTCTTCTCTTCTGTCTCCCGACAATCGCGATAAAACATCTCAAGTGTCAACAGCTCCAATTTATCCGTTTCTATTTCTTCAACAATTTTTTGTTTCTTCTTTCCTGAACTCCAATTATTTCTTTTGGTCCACTTAATCCATTTAATACGTTTAATAAATAGCAAAGAATTGTTCTTCTTTGGTGAAATAGAATAATTCTTATTTATATAATTTTTTTTTACACAATTATTGCAGAGGAGAAAAAATAGCGGGTATTTATTTTTTTTTGGTTTCACTTATAAGACTTCACTAGATAATTTCACACTTATCTTTCACTCTCAAGTACACGTTGAATGTGAGCTATTAATGCTCAGCGGCATGGAATGTATTTCAAAGGAACGCTTGTTGCCGGTTTAAATTAAAAATAATAAAGCTAATATAATTTTTGTAGTTGGGCGCGAGTTTGTTGACTTCGAGAAGAGAGGAACGTGTTTTCTTCGACGAAGAAACTAAAAACTCAGACCGGCCTGTGCAGTGAACGAACGCGGGTAGACTGAAGTCTAGAGAACAGTGACCATAACCCGGGACGAGAACTCAACTCTCTCTCTCTCTTTCTCTCTCGCTCTCTCTCTCTCTCTCTCTCTCTGTCTGGCAGTTGCCTCACTCGGTGATCTCCCTCTTTCTTACATGTATACACATCTCGCTCCCTCTCACATGATTTCCCCTCTCTCTCTTTTGTCGTCCTTCGTCGGCGTCGCGAAGAACTCAGAACAAAAAGTGGAACAGAAAGGGACGCACCAGGTATGAGGGCTGAGGGCGAAGTCTCCTGAGGGTCTTTAAATGAAAACGCTCTGTTATCCGATCCAACGCAGAGAGTTGAGGCTGCTGGAGAACGATCGATTTCCTTGCATTAATTATTAGCTGGCGCAATGAGTAGCGTTATTATCTTTTGTTTTTGTATTTTTTTTTCATCCTCTCTTTTTTTGTTAATTTTTTCTTCCATTGTCGACGCTCAATTATATTTGTTTCAACAAAATGCTTTTTGAAAATTCCGTGAAATTAGCTGGCTCCTTTCCAAATAACAAACGAAACTCTTCTCTGACAAGCAGTTAAACGATTTTCATTGATGTTGTACCCAAAAAATAAATTAGGCATTAGAAAGCCGATCGGTATTATTGATGAAAGAACTGCTGTTCAAGACATGTGAATGCGCTTCCTATCGTTTTTCCTTTTTTTTTTTTTTATTTTGATAAACTTATCAGACAATCGCTGGAGCAAGAAATTTCTGTCCATTACAGTGACTTTCCTAAAAGTAAATATGTTCGATCCAAAAGATTTTATTCCTTTCAAGTAAAATTTTGAGGAAAATTAATTTTGTTTTAATATTTAGAAAAGTAAAAGTTCTTCAACATATTGCTTACTCTTTGCTTGTGTGTATGATGTGAAAAATTTGATGAAACAAAGGGGGTCGGAGGTCCAGGTGGATTAATTACCGCTGGTTTAGGGAACGCATCCTGGGATGAATCGCTTTTGCGATCAAGATGACGATTACAAAACCATGATAACGAACGAGAGGATAAATAATAGAGAGCTGAAAACTAAAGATGGAAATGAATGCCCCGACATAGCGGAAGTTCTATATTAACGTAACTCCTGAGAATTTCAGGTTTCTCGTTTCAAATCATTTTTCCGTTGAATAGGAAATTGCGGATTTATATAAAAGCCGGAAAAAATTCCATATCTCCACAGGAAAATACAAAAATAATTCTTAATATTTCGTGTAAATTTTTCTACTTTTTTTCGTAATAGAAAGAAACTAATGCGAATCAAAAAGGATAAAAATAAATTTCTAAGTTTACAATTAGATACAATCAAAAATCTCTTTTAAATTTTCATACCTTTGAAAAGGATACGATTTTTTAAAGATGAAAAAAAGAACTGCATGGAAAAAGTGATTAATGGATGATTGAATTAAATAACATACTTGAGAGTGTTTTCGGTGAAAATGGACGAAAATTAATCTTCAAATTTCCGAAAGAAATGTATTATATACTGGAATTTTATAATCAACTTTGGACTGCTTTGTTCATACCTGAAACAAACAAAAAAATGTAAAATTAGAAACAATTCGTAAATTTGATAGTATATTAATATTAACAGTGAGATATATTTTTATGAGTTTCCGCTACTGATAATGAGATAAAAATGATCGTTTTCCTTTCTCACAGAAAAAAAATACTTATCTACTATCACTCTTTTATTAATATTTGGTTAATATTTCCCAGGAAATGTTACGGAATCAAAAGCCATATAAAAAAAACGATTTGTTTTCGATAGGAATTTCAGAATCAAAAAGAAACTTTTGTTTATTTTCGGTTCAGATTTGTGAATCAAAAAGTGATTACGTTTTGATTCAAAAATCTGAAGTAAATTTTGTTTTCTGTTATGATTCCAAAATCATAATCAAAAGTAAACTTTGTTTATTTTGGGTTTGGTTTTCTGTATCAAAAGCGGAATCTGTTTATGTTTTGATTCAAAAATCAGTAGCAAACATTGTTTATTTTCGGTCAGGTTTTCTGAATCAAAAGCGGATTCTGTTTCTGTTTTGATTAAAAAATCAGTAGCAAACTTTGTTTATGTTTTGATTCAAAAATCAATAGCAAACTTTGTTTATTTTCGGTTCAGATTTTTGAATCAAAAAGCGAACTTTGTTTATGTTTTGATTCAAAAGAACTTTTAGTTTTTTTTGGTTTTTTTAATTAAAAGCGGATTCTGTTTATGTTTTGATTCCAAAATTATAATTAAAGTAAACTGTTTATCTACGGTTCAAACATTTAATTCTGTTTATGTTTTGATTCAAAAATCAGTAGTGAACTTTGTTCAGATTTCTGAATAAAAACCGCATTTTGTTTATGTGTTGATTCAAAAATCAGAATCACAAGTAATTGTTTATTTTCGGTTCAAATTTCTGATTAAAAATCGAATTCGGTTCATACTTTGATTACAGAATCAAATTCGATTTTGTTGTCAGTTTTGATTCCAAAGTCGACAGAAGTATCTGAACCAAAAATAGATTCTGCTTCTAAATAAAAACTGATTATTACTATTAATTTTCGCCTTGACTCTGAACCAGAATCAAATTTGGTTTGACAATTTTCTTTTGTTCCTTAAAATTGAAGAGAAAAAATTGAACTTTCGTTAAGGATGAAGTTTGTTTTTTTTTCTCCACTCAGAGTACTCATTCTATTAAAGTGCGGTATTTGTTTGATATTCTCTTCACAGCAGTAAATAAAAAAAAAGAATAAACCCCTACTATTGTAATATTACAATGGCAATTGCGTAACAAAAAATGTAAAAAGGATTTAAAATGACAAGAAGCTACATATATAGTATATACACCGAGATTACATTTTGAAAATCTGTTTTCTCTCTTGCCACAATTCACTCAGGGGACAGAGTTTACCGAACTTGAATAAACCAGGTGTAATGGTACCGAATTTTCACATCACAGAGAGTTGGAGATTAAACGAATACTCGAGAGCCCTGGGGGAAGTCCTCTGAAGAAGGAGACGTTGCCGTCGCGCACGGATAAAAATCGAGGGAACTTTTTGAGTTTTCCTGTTTCCCTCAACAAAAGAAAAAAAAAAAAAAAAGAAAAAAACAACAACAACATGGCACAGGACGAAAAGGAGGGGAAAAAAAAGAAGGATATATATGGGAGTTTGGGTTCTGTAGGATATGGGGGCCAGGGGGGAGGCGGAAAACGTCAGGTTGTGGCGGGCTCAGGCGGGCTATTGAGTCGTTAGAGAGCCATCGAGGAGAGACTTGGTCGTGTGAGTAAAAGTGAGATTACCGGTGGCGTGCGAGCGAGCGAGTAAGCGAGAAAGGGGATTCCCCTTTGATCTTGCCGCCGCACGCGATCTCACACATGCACGCTACTGGTCGCTACGTGTGAATCCCCCCACGGACTCACCAATACAAGCCACAAATTAATGCACACTCGCCCTGTATAATAAACACCGTGCGCAACTCCACGCTAAGTCGCCTATAATTTCTCGCGGAAAATTATATGTTAATGCGCCCTAATGGCGTTGTTCGTTAACGGGACCGTCAAAGAAGACGCACACAACTTTCGAAAAAAAGAAGAAACAGAAAAAAAATGACCACCTCTCGACAATCTTTTAAGTTACCTCCCACTTGCACCAACTTTCGTTCGCATTATATGCATAAATGAATTCGAAAAATATTGTCAACCTTCTGATAATTCTGGCCTATTAAAACCGTCTAGACTTGCAAAGTCTGAATGCATCTCTGAATCATCATAGTCCGAATGATTTTACTTCAAAATTATGCTTCTGATATTAGAAGAAAGGTCCTTTACTATGAAACTACTGATAGTCCAACTTCTATCGAGGAAAAATTTGCTGTTGTTGTCCCAGAGACACAATTAGGGACAACAAGCGTCTAATGGGAGCATTTTTAGGGCCAGTTTCACCAACTCCGATTAAATCCTTAACCGACCAATCATGTTAAACTGACTTTGATCATAACTTTTAATCGGAGTTGGTGAAACTGGCCCTTGGATCAGTTAATCAATGATTAAATCCTTAACCGACCAATCATGCTAAACTGCGACTTTAATCATTGATTAACTTTTAATCGAAGTTGGTGAAACTGACCCCTAGTGTACTAGGCAGGATGAAATGAAGCCAGCGAATCCTAAGAATAATCCTGACACAATTTGTCTCCCATTTTTGATGACTGTACCTGAAGATAAATATAGTTTCCATTAGAAATCAAGTTCATTCAAATGGTATTAAGAATTTAACGCTTGTCCATTATAAGAAAAGAAACTCTTTGACCTTTTTCCGACTGTGTGTCAAAAAACGTCCTCGATTTCTATAATCGCTTCTAATGATGCAGTATGTTAATAACCATTGGGATTAGTTAACACTATTACGCAGCTGAATTTCAGAAAGTTGTGCGCGATCGCATCAGTTGCGCGCGGAGTTCATTCAATCGCCGTCAAGATTTCGATCAAGAAAAATAAAAATAAAAAAAGAAAAGAAAAAGACCAGAGAGCGAGATGAGAAAGAGAGAGCGACAGGTAAGTCATTAAAAAAAGACTTCTGTCGTGAAGAGCCGGTAGAAAGAGACGGTGAGTTGAGAGTGCGCTAGCATGCGAGGTTTAGCGTCGAGAAAGACGAAGACGATAAAGAAGAAGCAAAAGTAGGCGGAGGGGAGGAGAGAATCGAGCCGAGGACACCAACTGAACTTCAAAGGACTCTTTGATGGTTTCCGCTGCTGCTGCCATTGCGAGATCTTGATAAGCCAACGTTATATGTCGGTAGTATACTATCTTGTGCGGCGTGCGGTATCATATTGTATGCCCAAACCAGTTTTCGTTCGAGACCGTGGCGTAATTAAATACGTCAGCTTCGCCAAGCCGTAAACCCAACGCGAGAGTGTACTTACAGTGCCCCTGAAGCCGTTACCATAATCGCGGAAAACTTCTTTTAAACCCCCCCCTCTGGTCTCATTCTTGGCACAAGTTTTTTTTATTCTCCCACTTCTTCTAAAATCTAGAACACACAATTATTTCCCATATGAGACATAAGCAGTCCCACGCATATCCT